CACTCGGCCGCCGTTTATTTGCCCCTTCGATTTGCTTATCGTTTGTACAAGCAGATCATTTCAATTTTGGTCACGCTCGGGACACGATCATTCACTGGCTTTTCCGACCGTGCGCGAAATCGATATCGTTGTACTACGTCGATTTAAATTCACCAGGACTGTTTTCCCTTCGACTATCCCCCTCCCTAACCCCCCTCCTCACCCACTTGTTATTAGATCCGCGTTTACCAGCATCGACTGTGTATATCGATTTCGTTATCTATCGCGGTCCGTCGTTGTCCCGACAAAGGAAAAATGGAAATTCGATAAGTCAGTCGGTTCAGAGTACGAGGGGAGGGAAATTTTCGAGGAAAAGGATGGCGAAAACTCGAAATTCGTTTCGTTTCGGTAAGTTCTTCGTCCGCTACCGGTATGGAAGTGACAGTTCGCCCACTTCAGTTTCGCGCTCTTGAAACTCTTTCCGGCCGGTTTCTGGCCGAAACGAAAACTTTTACCCTCGAAGGGATACCCTCGGTCGTTTCCCGAGAAACGAGTCATCGTGTCAGAAATTTTGATTCGTGTTTCCGCCGTGGCCACCTCCCGCCAATCCAAACAAATCGCTCTTCTTTAACTTTTCGATCAACGAACATTTTCCATAGAAGGAGAGAAACGTCGTGGAAGGAAATAAAGGATTCTTCTTCGCGAGAGGAGGGATTTTCACAGGGGGGAGGGAAGAGCGTGACGATTTCGAATTTCGTCGTGACCTTTCGCGAAGCTTAGTTCAAACGGTGAAACGTGAAATTCGTCGATTTTGTAATATCGAGCCGCTTTTTATGAGAGAGAAAGTTGAAATACACTTTCGCGAATTTCTCCTGCCTTTATTTTTTCCTACCTTTCGTTTCGAATTTTTTTGATCTCTATCAAAGGGAATCGAGTTGTCGATTTCACTTGAAAACGGGAATAGAAACGAGAAGAGGAGGAGAGAGGGAGAGAGAGAATAATTCAGCGCCGTTTCATCCGAATCACCAGAGATCTAGAGATTTACCGCGGTCGCGAAGAAGAATCGATATTATACCATTATACCATTGGTTCTTTTTTTCCGTGACCCGAGGACCGTTATCGGGGCTGTCCGCTCTTTACGAGCGACACGTCGCGCAACTCGATATCGCGTGTACGGAAACTCGATGTGTTGGTGTGTACCACGGGCGAAAATAACACCATGGCCAGTTCTTTGAGCGTGATTATCATAACGACGATTGTGAAACTCTGCAACCTGTTTGATTCCGTTCGAGCGCCGCGGAAACTCGTTTCTCTTCTTTTTCTCTTTCCCGTTCCCTCTTCGTTTCCTTTTCTCTCTCTCTCTCTCTCTCTCTTTTGCTTTCATTCTGCCTCCCTCTTTCCCCCCTCCCCTTCCTCTTTGCCTTCTCTTCTTTTCTTCCCCAGTTATTCGACGAATATTGCATCGGGATCCGCGCGAGGAACAGAGAGGATGGAACTCGGGAACGAAAGACGCCGATATTAAAAGTGACCGATATTTGCCTCCCCTCGGAAAATCCGGCATCCTCGCCCGTTTTGAATCGGCCTAATACCCTGATTGGCCATTGAACGGCCGCTCATGCGAGCGACAAATATATCGTGAATTCCCGGATGATTGTTGCGGATTTCGAAGAACCAATCGAAATACCGCATCGAGGTAATACGCCGGAGTGAAATGAATTTTCATAGCGTAGCCTACCGGGACACACCGGGGTGTACGTTATCCTTCTCTATGAATGCCGATGACAGCGAAATTTCCTATTTTCCCGTTCAAACGAATTATCCCCGATCGAGCAAAGATCCTTTTTTTTTTCCTTTTTTTT